AGTGGCCAGAAATACCAGGTGCCATCAGGAGGTCCACCAGTGGGGCCAGGACATTAGAAGCCCTCCCACTGTTGACCCCCCCCCCAAGCACCAAGATGACAGAGCCTCACTTTCCCCAGAGACCCTATCTATACCTTGTGGCTAAGAGCCACTGATGGACCTCTGCTCCATATGCTTATCCAATTCCCTCTTGAAGCCGTCCATGCTTGTAGCCGCCGCCACCTCCTGTGGCAGCGAATTCCACGTGTGAATCACTCTTTGGGTGAAGAAGTACTTCCTTGTATCCGTTCTAACCCGACCTCGTACCTTCGTGAGGTACGAATGAATTAAATAATGTCCAGCCTCAATCTCCCCTCCTGCAGACAAAGCCCGTCACATCCAGCCTTGATCTCCGGAGCAGTAGAGAGAGCGGTCTTTGTTCTCTTGCATGGGGGGGGGGGCGGCCCTTCAAGGAGTTGAAAAGCGCAGCCATGCCTCCCCTTCAAGAGAAGTCCCTCTGGTCCCAGCACCCGGTTTTCAGCACTGGTCAGCTACTCCCCAGCCAGCCCTGGAAGAGACAGGCTGCAGACAAAGCCCGTCACATCCAGCCTTGGTCTCTGGAGCAGCAGAGAGAGCAGTCTTTGTTCTCTTGCATGGGGGGGGGCAGCCCTTCAAGGAATTGAAAAGCGCAGCCACGCCTCCCCTTCAAGAGAGGTCCCTCTGGTCCCAGCACCCGGTTTCCAGCACTGGTCAGCCACTCCCCAGCCAGCCCTGGAAGAGACAGGCTCCCTGGCAGACTTGTCCCCAGCCTCTTTTTTTTGGGGGGGGGGGGTAGCGTTTGCCTCTCTGACTTCTGCTTTGTTTGGTGTGAGAGCCAGTTTGGTGTCGTGGTTAATCTGGGAGAACCGGGTTTGATTCCCCACTCCTCCACTTGCACTGGCTGGATGACCTTGGGCAAGCTGTAGTTCTGGTCAGACCTGTTCTTGATAAAGAGCCGTTTCTGTCAGAACTCTCTCAGCCCCGCCTACCTCACAGGGGTGTCTGTTGTGGGGAGGGGAAGGGAAAGGAGTTTGTAAGCCGCTCTGGGACTCCTTCAGGTAGTGAAGGGCCATGGGGTATAAATCCAATCTCTTCTTCTTCTCCAGCTTAGCGAGAGAGCTCGGGAGAGGAAAGTGCCAGTTACCCGAGTGGGACGGCTCGCGAACTTTGGGGGTAAGATCCATCATGCGGGCATGCCTGTGAGAGAGAGAGAGAGAGAAATGGCCAGGGCGAGTTGTGGTTCCAGTTCTGCTTCAGTGCACAGAAGTGGACTTAACCGAGGACGCGTTGTGTGTCGGCTGCATGCCTTCTTGCTTTTGGCATAGTTGGGGTATGACTCTTGGGCAGCAGCGACAAGGGGAAGAACTGAGGCGCGGGCTGCCTCCGAGGCCCACCCTGTGCTGCGTCGAGGTGCTGGAATGGCGTACGGTTGCAAACTGGGTACTGCCTACTTGCGGACCTCTCTGTCATTGCCTCAGCTGCAGCAATGGCAAAGAGTCTCCCCCAAACACCGGCCGCGGAGGGGGAGAAGTCCAGTTCCGGGACGTTGCCAAGAAGTCTTGTTTTGACAGGGCTCCAGAATCTCACTTGAGCACAAGCGCAACTCTGTTCTCTGATGTTTTGATTTTTTATATCCATCTATCCGTCCCGCTTTCCCTTATGGTTTGAGGCAGCTCCCAAGGCACATTTAAAACCACTAGAATAAGCCCCCCCTCCAGGTAACCCCCTCTCCGCAGAAGATGCCTGCCCCACTGAAAGCCCCGGGAAACAATATGCACTTGTGGTGCCTGCTAGAGATTTTGAGAGAGGGGCCTCCCCGCACTTCCCCAGAGTGGCCAGTCCTCCCCCACCCCCAAGCCACTGGCAGGGATGGGGGAGGGGGTTTCCAAGTGGGGAAACTCCTGGAGATTTGGGGGGTGGAGCTTGGGGAGGACCCCTCAGTGGGGTACATAAGGCCACAGAGTCTGCCCTCCCAAGCAGCCGTTTTCTCCAGGGGGGAGCTGATCTCTGGAGATGAGTTGTGATTCTGGGGGACCCCCAGGCCCCACCTGGAGGTTGGCCTCCCCGGGCCTACCACGGGAAGGGCCTGGGCTCTGGTGGATGCCAGGCAGAGGGCCTTAAGTGGGGGGGCCAGCCAGTAGAGGGCAGCCTGAAGGCCAGTTGATGCACAGGGACACATGGGAGGAGCCGGTCCTTTAGATATGTCCATTCAGCATGAAAGGAATCAAACACGCCTTCAAAACCTCAGGAACTGCAAGTTGGGGAAGGCTCAGAACTGGCTTCTGGGAACGGCCAGCCGGCTCACAGTGGGACTGTTTAGAGGGTTCTGTCCGAGTTCCCGTGGGACGGTCGAGGCTGGCCGAGCGCACGTGCCCAGAAGTATCAGTGGGTTGTGGAGCTGGCTGGGGATGGAGGAGGGGGGTGGGCTGGTCCTCCACCGTGGGCTTGCTGGGCCGTGTTTGCCAAACCCACTTCTTTGGCCTCTCGATCTCACGAATCCTTTCCTTCCAGGTTTGGCCGTGGGTCTGGGCCTGGGGGCCTTGGCCGAAGTGGCGAGGAACTCCCTGCAAGGAGAGCCTGCTCCCAAGAGTAAGGAAGGACCAGGGCGGGGAGGGGCCGTTCAGGCGCACAGGGCACTTTCACGCATGCAAAATAAGGCCGTTTCAGTCCACGTCAGCGACCGTCTGCAAGTGGATTTTGCCATTTCACAAATTAAAATCCTGTTGCAAAGTGCATCAAAAGGGTGTCATTTAGTGCATGTGAAAGCACCCACAGTTTCAGTTGCCTGCTTGAGTGAATGTCAGGATTGGGGGGACGGAAGGGTATGCTTGCTATGTCTCCTTCTTTGCCTGGCTTTCAGAAGTAACTGGGGGGGGGCAGGGGGGGTTAGCAAGACAGGGAAACCTCTGCCGTGCTCTCCCCTCGAGGTCTTTGTGTTTGTAGGTCTGCAGTCCACTTCCTGGCCCAAACTGGTGAATGACATAAAGATCATAACCACAATTCCAAGCAAAATAGAAATGAGCCAGTTTGGTGTAGCGGGGTGACCTTGAGTCAGTCACAAGTTCCCTCAGAGGTGTTCTCTCAAGGGCAGTTCTCTCAGCGCTCTCTCAGCCCTGCCTGCCTCACAAGGGTGTCTGTTGTGGGGAGGGGAAGGGAAAGGAGATTGTAAGCTGCTCTGAAACGCCTTCGGGTAGTGAAGGGTGGGGTATCAATCCAATTGAGAGCCAGTTTGGTGTCGTGGTTAAGTGTGCGAACTCTAATCTGGGAGAACCGGGTTTGATTCCCCACTCCTCCACTTGCACCTGCTGGATGACCTTGGGTCAGTCACAAGCTCTGGCACAGCTGTTCCTGAAAGGACAGTTTCTGTCAGAGCTCTCTCAGCCCCACCCACCTCACAGGGTGTCTGTTGTGGGGAGGGGAAGGGAAAGGAGTTTGTAAGCCGCTCTGAGACTCCGAGTGAAGGGTGGGGCATAAATCCAATCTCTTCTTCTTCTTCTTCTTCTTCTTCTTCTTCTTCTTCTTCTTCTTCTTCTTCTTCTTCTTCTTCTTCTTCTTCTTCTTCTTCTCTTCTTCTTTAAAAACGAAACCTCTGTTTAGAAAGACCTCCTTTCTCCAAGTCCTTGGGGGGGGGGCATGTTGGGGCTGTTGTTGGGCAGACTTGATTCCCCCCCCCCTGTCCTCTCTGCAGATGGAGACGCCCTGCTGGACTCCAACCCCTTCCTGTCTGAGGCCAACGCAGAGCGGATCGTCAACACCCTCTGCAAGATGCGTGGGGCGGCCCTTAAGATCGGCCAGATGCTCAGCATTCAAGGTAGGGAATGGGGAGGTTCCGGGGGGTCTTTCTCCCCCCCCCCATTGCCACAGCTGCAGGGAGCAACAGTGGGGCAGCTGAGCTGGCCAGCCACAGGTCTCCAGCGAGCTCTGGATCTGAAAGGCTGTTGGCTCAAAGGGCTGAAGCGCAGCCACGGGGGTGGGGGTGGGCAGGCTCTGGGCGTGCTCTGGGTCTCCCCACCAGCAGCCCCCTCCCAATACCCTGCAGTTCTCAGCAGTGCTCAGAGTGGTGGCCGAGGCCCCTCCCTGCTGTAAGATCCTGGGATTCAGCAGCCAAAAGTTGGCACCTGACACGATTGTCCTCTTAGAGGAGGCAGACGGTGCTTTCTCCATCAACTTTACACATTTGCTTCATAGAATCCTAGAATGTTAGAGTTGGGAGGGACCTTGCCGGTCATCTAGTCCAGCCCCCTGCACTCTGCAGGAGCAGAGCCGAAAGAGAGCCCTACAACATACCCGGAAGACGGTCCTCCAGCCTTCACTTGAAAACATCCAGCGAAGGAGCCTCCACCACCTCCCGAGGCTGACTGTTCCACTGCTCAACCACTCACAGTTAGTAAGTTTCTCCTGATATATAGCCAGTATCGTAATTTCCACCCATTAAATCTAGTCTTGCAATACGGAGCAAGAGAGAATAGATCTGCTCCATCTTCTACATGACAGCCCTTCAGATACTTGAAGACTGCAATCATGTCCCCTCTAAGCCTTCTCTTTCCCAGGCTAAACATACCCAACTCTTTCAGCCTTTCCTTGTAAGACTTGGATTCCAACCCTCTCAGCATCCTGGCTGCCCTCTTCTGGACTCGCTCGAGTTTGTCAACATCCTTCCTAAATTGTGGTGCCCCAAACTGGACACAGGACTCCAGGTGAGGCCTGACCACAGCAGAATAGAGCAGAACTACGCTCACAAAGTAGAATTTTTGCTCACAGGACCCCACAGCTCAGAGGGAGCCTTGCCTGGGACCCTCCCCTTGCTGCTCCCTGGGGGCAGCCGTGGGACCCTGTTGGGGGTGGGCTCCACTCCCCACTAACTCCTCTCCCCGCAGACAACACCTTCCTGAGCCCCGAGCTGCAGCAGATCTTTGAGCGCGTCCGCCAGAGTGCAGACTTCATGCCCCCAGCGCAGATGAAGGTGAGCGGAAGCACTTTCAAATGGGGCAGGAAGGTGGGGGCGGGGGGGTGTCACAGAGCCCTCTGCCGGGCAGGCCCCCTTTCTTGCAGACTGGGCGGGCTGGGGAGGGGTGGCATCGAAGGGGTGCTGTGGGAAAGTCAAGCGGGACTTGAAGTCTCTTCGGCTTGGTTGCATCTCATTTTCACGCACGCGTGTGATTCTTTCGTCCTCACAGTCAGCCAGTGGACTCTGTCGGCATTTGAACTTAGGTCTCGCTGGTCTGGATCAGGCATGCTAACCGCTGTGCCGTACTCCTGTCAGACTCCTGGCCAAGTTACTCTCAGCAACACTCTTTAGCAGTGATTTGTTTGTTGAGATATAAGCAAGATCCAGATTATAACAGTACTGTGTCAGAACTGAGAATTTTGGCAGGGATACTTACAGATATAGGTAATTCAAATGAAACCCCTCCTAATAGCCACACACACGTCACATCCATCCCGCCTAGCCGCTGCGTTCTTTACCACCCCCCCTTTTCGCCTGGGAAATATCCGATCCTATTATCTACAAAAGCAAGCTGGCACCAAAGGTTTCAAGGAGGTTCCTCTGAGAGAGGAAGGCTTCTTCGAGAAAAGTTACAGCTCTAAGACAGCACGGTTCACACACTCCACATTCGCTCCCCGCTTAGGAATTCCCTCCCCCCTCCGTTCATGGCAAACTGAGCAGAGCAAGGTTTGACAACACCCTTCTGCTGCTTTCCTCTATATGGGTCAGGAGAAGAGGAGGAGGCATCGAAGGGATGCTGTGGCAAAGTCAAGCAAGGCTTGAAGCCCGTGTGTCTCTTCCGCTTGTTTTCATAGAATCATAGAATGTTAGAGCTGGAAGGGACCTCACAGGTCATCTAGTGCAGTGGTTAGGAGTAGGGATGTGCAAAAAAAAAAAAATTGGTAAAATTCGGATTCGGGTTTATTGAACCCGAATTTTTTCGGGAAACCCGAAAAAACCCGAATATCTAATTCGGTAAAGCATAGATATCCGAAAATTTTCGGAAAACCCGAAAAATTCGGGTCCATTATAACCAATGGGGCCATTGAAGTCAATGGCAAAAAACCTCTTGAAACTTTGCAGGGGGGAGGGGGTAGAGGCTCCAAATTTGGACAGTGGCTGCTCATGCCTCTTCCCGAAAGACCCCCAAAGTTTCAAGAAGATTGGCCCAGGGGGTCCGATTCCAGGGGCATCCAAAGAGGGTGCCCCCAGTCTCCCCAGATCAGCTTGCTGTATTCCCGGTTTGCCGCCGAAATTCGGCGGCAATGCATTTCAATGGGATTTTTACCTTTTACTTTCCTTTTTGCAGACCCCTAGGAGGGGGAAAGAGGGAGAGGCTCCAAACTTGGGGGGTGGTTACTGGAACCTCTCCCCAACATGCCCACCAGGTTTCAAGAAGATTGGACCAGGGGGTCCAATTCTATGGGCCCCCAAACAGGTTGCCCCCATCCCTCCATTGTTCTCTATGGTGGACAATGGAGGGAT